AATCGAACTCGGAACCTCCGCATAAAGCAGCCACATTGTAAAAATTTAAGACACCGAGGCCGTCAAAAAAATAAAATCTGTTGTCTGCTATTCATAGTACAGTGAAATCCCTAATTTGAGACTATTGGTGTTTTTTTATACATAGGGCGCTATACTATAAGTTTCCGGAACTAGCCACTTACATAAACAATATTTAAAAAGTAATTACAACATTTGAAAATGGAACTCTTTGGGCTGTAGAATACAGTTTGTTTCATCTGACTGTCACTTGTTTTTACATTGTGGCGTCATTTTAGAAATTGGTTGTCTACATCACCATGGATTTAACTCGTGAAAATTTTCTTTAAGTGTAATCTAACAGTTCAACGGAGCTTCTCTCGGCTTCAAACTGCTTTTGGCGATGAAGCACCAGCAAAACGACTATTGATAGCTGATTTGCAGATTCAAACGCGGTCGTGCGAATCTCAGCGACGAATTTCGTGATGGTCGCCCGTCCACTGCTGTGAACAACAAAAACATGATTGCTGTGGGCCGTATGCTCTAAACAGACAGGCATGTGACATACCACGAGATTCGGGCATCTTTAGGCATAGGCATGAGTCAAATACAATCAATACTACACAAACATTTGGGTGTGAAAAAGCTGTGATCTCGTGGATCCCACACAATTTGACTGAGGCTCAAAAAACGGATCGCCTCACTTGGTGCAATGCCATGTTTACCAGATTCAACGAATGGGCGTCAAATTTGGTGTGGGACATAGTACCAGGTGACGAAAGATGGATTTATAGTTATGATCCCAAAACAAAACAGCAATCGAGCGTATGGGTCTTTCGAGATGAGCCGAAACCAACCAAAGTGGCGCCCGTGCAAAGTGCCTCTAAACGGATGATTGCTTCTTTTTTAATAAAACTGGACACGTGGCTACTGTTGCTTTGGAGAATCGTTGTACCGTGAATAGTGATTGGTACACGACCATTTGTTTGCCAGAAGTTATTGACAAACTCCGCAAAAACAACCGTAAACGTCGTATCATCTTGCACCACGATAATGCCAGTTCTCACACAGTCAGACAGACAAATGAATTTTTGAAGGTGAACAACTTTGACCTTATGAGCCATCCCGCGTACAGTCCCGACCTGGCACCTTGTGACTTTTATTTGTTTCCAAAAATTAAGAACCATTTACGCGGTCAACGATTTTCATCGCCTGAAGAGGCTGTCGAAGAGTATGAAAAATATGTTTCCGAGATTGTTACGGAGAAGTGGCATAAATGTTTTCAAAATTGATACATTCGTATGAAAATGTGCATTAACGCTAACGGAGAATATTTTGAGAAACATAAATTCATTTCTGACCATTTATAATATTTTTTTATAAATGGTCTTTCTGACTGACTTATTCATTCCGGAAGCTTATAGTGCAGCCCACGTAAATCATGTGACGGGTCGAACAAGTCGTGAGCCTGGTGGTAGCGTGTAGCTCCACGCCTGTCCATAACAGTTGCAATGCTACTCATAGATTTAAATTGCAGATCTGAAGGGCATTGCCACTGCACCTGTCACCCTGACAAATCTCATGTGTCTGTAATTTTAGTACAGTACAGGCAGTACTTTCCTGGACGAACTCTTACGCAAGGAGCTCTACTGCTACTGAACTAGTGTGGTAGTCAAGCACAATTATTATCACCTGCAATTTCCAATACAATACAAAGTACGCAATATTATTGGTGAATGTCTAAGTAACCTCTCGGTAACGGCGAGAATATCGTAATGAAACTTTGAAGAACGTTCGTAATCTTTTTAAATCCTTGATAAACGTGTGAAATCGCCATTATACGTAGAGGTAGGCCTAGCTAAACACTCTCCTTAATGAGGAGCCCTGCCTAGCAGTGTGCCGTATAATGAGTTGACGATGCGTCATGAAAATAAAAAATCATTGGAATAATCAATTATGAATGCTTATTCGGAACTAATAGAGTTTCTAACTAAATGGCGTGCTTTTGTGACATCGGTCCCGTGTGCTGCCGAAATGGGGGTCAATTATTCAGAAGCACTCGGTAAAAGTCTGATTGACGATCATGAAGACACATTGGTAGACGTCAGACAATTTGCGTCATTGTCTGCTTTACTTAACGTTGACGCCTCGGAAAGTTGGTGTCTGACTGCGACAATGACGCCATCTAAAACAAAACAATAATGGGACGAAGCCACGTTATCATTTAAAAACCTCGCTTCACAAGAGCAATTTTTTACCACATTTGAGTGAAAAAAGAACAACAATTCCCCAAATGACTTCACCGCTGAAAATAACGATACTTATGCTCGGTAACAATGCTAACTACTTTATGAGCGTAGGTATACAAAAAAAGAGTTATTTCACGTTCCAATCACTTCATGACCTCCATGTTAGAACACTAACAAAACTGCGGCACGCATACAGACAGGCAGTAGGCATATTGGTGTAGAGCGCGACTGGAAACAGTCATGCAGGAAAACACACAAGGATGATATAGGTACGCTCGCTTGTCTAATGCCAAGAATGCGATTCATTTCGCCTTAGTGTGACCGCTCACCTGAGCCATACCTGAGCATCGTTTTATCTTCAGACGAAACGTCATTAATGCTTGTGACGTACGACACGACACCGCACTTTGCACCATAATAATATGAAACTAAGTCATTTACTATCACGACTTTAGTAACTTGACAAAGGATTGGATTTTTATTGGTGTGCTTTATTTTATTCTTATTTAAGCTATATTATATAGCTATATTCCGAAAAACCTCTCATCATTGTCGTCTTCAAGTCGTTCTCAACTTGACATCTCAACCATTACAACTGAGCCTGAGTCTTTTCCCTAAAAGGAATGTGTTAGGCAGAGATCACCGGTCGGTGGCCCAATGCAGCAATGAATATTTTTATAAATAATTTTCAGTACGTGTTAGGTTGTGACGCAGATGCCACACCTACTTTTGTGAAAGTTGCTAATCATATCCGTACTTATACGGATATGATTGTGTTTGATTTAATATAATAAATGGATACTTATATCCGTAGACTTAACGAGAGCTTGAACACGCTTTGATGGTATTCAGACTATTTAATGACGTCGCAACATTCGCGGATTTACATCCAAATTGTAGTTCGTATAGATCATAAATAACAACTTCCCAACAATATATGTATCCTTAAACAAGTCTACCTTCCTTAAATTCGTAGTAAATACTACTTATTTATGTATTTATTCAGCTTGTACAAACTAAAATATTTTAACATATACTCGTTAAATGTCCAAATATGTCTCCAATCTCTATTTCTCACATGTCCACTGGTTTTCGGTGGATCGTGTCTCACAGACGTGAGACACGATTTGGTATCGTCAATGTATTATTACGTTGAAGTGATCTGATTCAAAAATTAATTTAAAACATCAACATGTTTTACCTATATTACAGCGATTTTGGTTCATTTTAAGGAGAACACATCTTCCTAACACTTTATGGAAGGCCAAAATTCCCTACAAAGGCAAAATGTCATTAACTTTTAAAGAAAACACTAGGACTACAAAGTTTATAACAATTTAGACCAATTTTCAAAAACTAGTACTAATATGGCGTCTACAAAGCCAAAGGACTAGGATAAATATAATAATCATAAAAGAATGGTCATATATTGTACATTATTATCTTGTAGTTTCAAAGTCACAATTGTGTGTAACGAGCGCATTGACACACTGACACTAGAACTAGCTGTACCTCTACCTTAGAGGATAAAAAAAAAAAGGAAACCTCTACCCTTTTTTTCCATCCTCTAAGACCTCTATGGACCTTGTCACCTGACATCAGCTTTCAACTGGAATCTATTAACCTTTCCCGTTTCTAGTTCAAATTCAAATTTAAAACAATAAGACATACGGATTGGCTGTGGACAATCGATACAATAGACAAAGTAGAAACAGTAAGTGTATATGATATAATAACCTAATGTAACCAGTACCAAGCCATTAATAGGTAGGTAGGTACCCCCTAGTTAGGTAGACCCTAAGAGTAATCTTAGGGTCGTATTCCAGAACTCTACTCAATGCTCAAGTCAGGATTTGAGACTTGAGTATGATGTAAAGCACTGGAAATACGACCCTAAGGGCAAGGCCTTGAGTATGATTTTCAATGTTCACTGCAATACTCAAGTCCTGACTTGAGTATTGAGTAGAGTTCTGGAATACGACCCTCAGAGTACTAATTAATATGCATGGACAAGAGTTTCAATTAACTGTCTATAAGTAGTACAGATATTGTAAAAGACGTGTCAATGTTTCGATACAGATTTAAAAATTCATGTGATAACTCTAAATTAGGCATGTAACAATTTTATTGTCGTTTTTAAAACAAATTACCAAATAAATAAAAATAATAGTTTGACCCCGACGTGATTTGAACACGCAACCTTCTGATCTGGAGTCAGACGCGCTACCGTTGCGCCACGGAGTCGATACTCTTGATGATGAAATAAACAATCTAGTACATACTGCATTGCACTATACAAAATTAATTAAATAATTTAATATTTTCTATAAATGACAAGTACAAGAAAAATTTTTCACGTTTCAATAACCACTATCCAAAAACTGAATATGCAATTTAAATAATTGTTACTTGTTTGGAACACATAACACGACTGCAGCGTCACCTATTGTGGCTTTATAATGTTAGTATGCAGTAAGAGACTGTTCATTCCTATAGAGTTGTATAAAGCGCGTCATAGATGGCGCTATAAAAAAACCGAGGCCAGCAATCACTAATTTATGCCCACAATTACTTGGAATTGAACATTCTTGAGGTAAATTAAGTTTATATGTTATTGAACATTTTGGTTGAAGAAAAAAAAATAAAAATATTATACTTCCTAGGAAAAAAAAATTAGAACGAAAATTTGGTGTAGTTTACTAGAAGCCCCTGTGGCCTAATGGATAAGGCATCGGCCTCCTAAGCCGGGGATTGTGGGTTCGAGTCCCACCAGGGGTAAAAGAGAAATACCTTCCTTTGAGTTTTGACATATTTTTAATATTATTAACATGTTTTATAGAATAAAAATAAAATAAAACTTGAGATTATAAAAACACTGTTTTTGCTACATGTAGCGTAACTTCGGAGCGGTAAACATCTTAAACCCGTGTGTTCCAAATAGTATCCAACTTGATTAGGCAAACGGCAGTCATTATCTGCAAATAAAAAAGGAATAATACATAGTGTTTTAATATAGAGCAAAATACAATTTATTTTATCAATTTAATATAAAAATTATAAACGCTACCATTTTTATCACTTTTATCGTTCTCTGTTAAACTGATTCTTATTTTCGCCACGTTTACTATCGGCGCCGTGGCTTAGTTGGTTAAAGCGCCTGTCTAGTAAACAGGAGATCGGGGGTTCGAATCCCCCCGGGGCCTAGATGTAAATGACATCTTCCTTTTTTTTTTTTTAATGGTTTTTTTAAACTTCCTTACGTGCACATATGTTAGTAGAGTCGAAAACGGAGACGCTGAAGTACGCTGGTAAACAAAACTGCGGTGTCGTACACGGATTGGTCAAGTTAAAGTTAAAGCGGTCTCGGTCTCCAAGGTTTTGACAACTTTGACTGTGAGCATCTTTTGCTCCTCGCCACATACATATTAGCAGTCGACCTTGTCCAGCGTTACGAAACTGAAAAAAAAAATATTTTATATTTTTTAATAATAAATATTTCGGTTAGAGTTGCCAAAGTGGCGCCATCTATTGACGTGTGTGGCAAAGCTTTACTAGATGGAACACTACTGTAAGAAAACTTCATAGGGAGAACTTAGCGTTGCCGCTTCGATGGTAGACGTTTATATTACTTCGGACAGTGCCTCTACCAGGAGTTTAGTGTAACAGTTATCGCTAGCGACCGTGTTTAGTACGGTAAATTATACATAAAAGCCCCCGAGCGATCACAAGAAGTAGTATTTTGGATACAAAATATAAATTGCACTGTCGCTAGCGACAACTGTCATTGTTAGTAACTCATGGTAGACAATATTAATAATATTAGTTAACAAAATCGTGTGACTAATACATTACATAATAATATATAAGGTCTATTGGGATTGGCAAAATTGGCAGATAGAGAGTTTCGTATGTCTTAATAGACCACAAAGAGCAATGAGCGCACAAACAAAATTAGCAAAATCATCCGAGGTAATAAAAACCTTTGTTGAAATTATTGCCACTTTATGCGGTACAATCAAAACATAGATTAATTTGGAATCGTTTTTGTACCTTGCGTCTAATGTAAAAAATGCCGTATCACTGTTTCGTTACTGTTAATTATGTGCAATACGAAAGGGATGGGATATCAGTGACATGGACGGTATGTATTACAAGTGGTTGTGATTGAATACGAGATTCGATGACACTTAAATTTTTTTTATTCATGATGGATAAAAGTTAAATAATAATCATAATTTTAAAATAAATCAATACCTGTACATTCACTAACGGTTGTTGCATCAAATAGAATGGATGAATGCGATAGGTTCTCGTGCGGCTAGGTAACACAAAGTCTTCGTATTCAGTCTGATTGAAAACAGTGCCGTTAAACGGACAATGGGCTCCGAAAATTCTCGATGGTATCTCACTCTTCACCAAGAGAGTATCTACAGTGCTAATCACATCTTGTACGTTGGATGATGCTACCTGCAACATTGAAGTAACATATTTTTATGTACTTATATTAATAACTGATTATTAATGTTCGTTCTAAAATTAATTTCTAGTAAACTTCTTATGGACCTCCTTATGGATCTATAAGATTCCCTTTGGAGATTTTATTAAGATTATGCGCACTTTATTATGTATTGATTGGTGAGTTTATGTACCGACTTCTAGTGCAGTAAAAAGGAAAGCATATTAGAGTTATACCACTTTGAATAGTGAAAAAAATCTCGCAAAACGCAATCTCCATGAATGTATACTTTCTTAGAAATATTGACAGTATAATTTAAAAAAGGTACTAAAAGATCCATGATATTTAGAAGAAGCACATACAGGATCAGACAGTTTAAGAAGTTCCCTGTAGAACTGTTTGACGAAACACACAGAAACTAGGGCAGACTTCGCACAATCATAATAAAATTCGCATTTAGGTAAACAAACTTTTCGAAATTTTAACTGCGTCCTGATTTTGATTCAAATCGGAATCGATCCAATCGAGTAGTCTCGAAATCAGATGGGTTTCTGAGCGAGAAGATAAATTTGATTCCTACTATATCTTTCTAATTTGTGAGTTAAATCAACTATGGTTCTGATTAGAAATGTCAGAAGTTTCCTCGGCCAGTTGTGAATCGCAGTTATGCGCCTCGACTCGGAAAAGACGCAGTTTCCGATCGGGAGAGGCAATCACCATCGTACCTCCGACACTTAGTACAAGGTACGTAGTATATGGTATATAATTTGTATTCCAGTATGTAACTCTTAAGCATCCCGCTGTATTGGACGGCTCGCATAAAAGCAACATACGCCTTAATTTACCTCTCTGGCGAAAAAGGTCTCTATTTGGCTTTATAAAACTCTGAACAGTTATTAAAATCTTCCGGCACATTAAAAAAACAGGATACGTACGGCCAAAAACAATTCCGAATAATCCAAATACTCGTTGTTTATATTTTGAAATTCAGTTAGATCTTGAGCAGTGTACGCGAAGTATACGTCAAAGTAGGACATCCTTAGCGAGTTCATAAGTTCTCTAGCAGCTTCTATATCGGCGACTGAAGGTCTGTCACTAGGACTGATTATAAGGACAACAGTACTTGGCCCTGCACTGGCCGTAGTGTTCTTTTCGAGCAACGTCTTATTTAAGGAATGCTGAATTGTCGCTGATATGACGTTAGATACGCTTAACCTGGTCGGCCCTGTCAAAATCAATATTGTTAAATGGGTGCACTGTCAGTAGCATGCTTCGTGCCAATTACTTGTTTCGATAGAGGTTTCAGCTAGAGTGGATTGCAAAGTAAATATCTGGCAACTTTTATTGCAATGAACAGTTTACGCTTTTGTGTGTTTGGCAATGAAAGTTGTTAATGACCGTTTAATTAGGTACAAGTAATTCGAAACAATATATAGAAGAAAAACATAAACAATATATATGGCGAAGACCGTACATCTTGCCTATACCTAAACATCTTAAGGCGCTGGTTTCCAGTAAGAACAAAAAGCCAACGAGAGAAACTAAATCTAGATTTTTATATTAAAGCAAAAACAATTGCAATTGCATGAGTAAAGCATATCAGTTAATTATACTAATAATGTAGCTTACTTAATTCTACGCTTAAAAATATCACAAAAGAATTACCTACAATACCTGTTCCTGCTATTAATTTATGAAAAATAAAAATAAATGTATGAATTTCCAAAATAGTACTACAAAATTGTGCTAAAAGATGGTTCATAAAAGAAAACCCGGTAATGCGGCATCAAAGCTGGTAAGTCAGATAATTTCAAACTCGACCACAATTAGCTAACGTACTATATCCTACGACACTATTTTCAAAATCCTAGTTTCTAGAGCTATTGAAATTTTACAGAAGTTTACGGTAACAATGTTCTTTTTTATTGTAATGTATTATGATTATATTCTCGTTCATCATTAATATTTGAAATGTTCTTATTAAATATTTCTGTGACTCTACCATGACTTTACAGTTACAGATGTCGCTAGCGAACGCGTCAACTATTTTGTACACATATGTTACTTCTTGTGGCCGCTAGAGGCGCTGTACAATTTGAAAAGATTGAGCGTTTAGCGCTTTTCTCATTGTAGTTTCCTGGATCTTAGATGTTTATGATCAGCGCGTTTCACTATAATATATCGTATCATAACTACATCAATTTGTTGCTGCGTTTGGCACGGGACTCCTACTCACATTCGTCAGTATAATTGCTAAGATGAGAAAACACTGCCGTTAGGTTGTCAGATGGTGGCACTATATATTGGCCTGTATTGCCATGGAGTAGTGACAGGGTACTTCGTCGTAAGTCTAACTCCAGAGCGCCACCAGCCCATCTGGAAAATAGTTAGCCGTTGCTTTTATACAATTAATTATTATATCATAAACCCTCTATGATGTGTTCAAAAACCGCAAATTACGACCAGCATAAAGATAAACTGTTTTGTTAGAACAAATTTCTTATCTGTGAAAATGTTATTATTGCTTAATAATAACATAAATTCGATTTTATTATTACATTCAAATTACGAACATCTCTGAAAAACAAAACAATTTCATTCGACCTCAATTATTAATAATAAATATCAGTCCAGGTGAAGTTTTATTCCAAATGAATAAGAATAAGAATACTTTATTGCGTAAGCACCGAGACACACATGATCTTAAAATTAAAATACAATATTATAAACTTTAAACTAAAATACAGTACTTACAACAAAAGTTAAAACATAATTATAATGATTAAAACAAAATAAAAAAATAAATTAAAAATGTAATAATAAATGCGTGTCGCGGCACACGCAAACGGGATTTGCTCAGCTATTAGCTACAGGCTGATAGATTTCAGCCTGCAGCGCTGGTTTTCAGCAAGCCCGATATGAGTGAAGCACGGACTCGAACACAAACAAAACAAATACATGCATAACATGAAACGTGAGCGTGAAACTTGGTAAATGAAATGTCAATAGCAAACAATTTTGACGAATTTCACATGTTACTTGATATCGAACGATATGATAGTTGGGGTCGACTCTAATTTTTCTTAAAATTAATTATTTGAAAAAAAAACTACAGTTGTGTGACATGCATGAGAAAAGTTTTTATTTACCGCCATTTCGCCAGTCGTAACATGCGGTTCCTGAACACATCATAGAGCGCTTATAATATGTGTATAGAAAAAGCTGTGTATGTAACTGTGCCTACATAATTAGGCATTAAAACACTCGTGTGATGTCCTTCTGAAACTCGCCTATCAGCTCATTTCATAAACCCACACTCGTATTTTAATGCCTTTCATTATGTAATAGTCACATAAACTACTAGATATATTTAGAACTGTAAGATTAGTGGAGATCTTTATTTATTTGTCTAAGTTTTATTTACTAGTCAATAAGTGAGACAGCAGACACATGATCATTTTGATCGACTATCGAGGTAGTAAGACTACCTCGATGGTCTAAAACACACACGGTGTGTTAATAAGTATGGGCCCTTGATGATGATATCCCGGGTTCTATTCTTAGTAAGACAAATTTGAGAAACGAATATAAACTACTCTCCTAATCGTAACTAACGCATTTGCATTTGCTAATTTTCGAGATATAGGCACCCAAGGTTTTATTTTCTTTGAAAAATGTCAATCATACTGACTTTGGTAAACAATAAAACTGAAAATGTCGTGAAAACCAAATACAAAGATCCGACAACAAGCAGAGTGAGTGCGTAGTGGAGTAATTTCACAAAAAAGAATTGAATATCAATTCAACAAAAAAAATAAACTAAAACGAAATATTTAAAAACCGCTTATAGGGTGTTGTAGATCGTTTCGCTGATTCCATATATTTTAACAACTCAGTTTCGCTAAAAATGTCGATTACATCACCAAATAATAGGCCAAATTTGACACTTGTCATCGTGACGCAAATAGGGATGTGGACTAATCATATCGATAATCACATTATATGATTTTCACGAGAAATCGATTCAAACTTTTAAGAGTTTGTGATTGCTTAGAATATTTTTCGGTTCATTGTTGTTCAGGGAGCCTAAAAGGTGAAATCATGCAGTTCAGTTAAAAGCAATTCATTTACAGCGTCAAATAGCGTCCCCACCCCTCCCGTGCGTCAGTCCGCGCATCTTTCGTCTAACCCAACTCGGAGCGAACGAGTTGTATAATTTTATTTATTATGTAATTACGTCATCACACTATAAACGCACACAGTAGGTATATATATATATATATATATATATATATATATATATATATATATATTTGCTATATTTAAGTACTTTTGCGATCTATAATATAAGACCCAGCATTAACACAACGTACAAAGAACACATACGCAATTATTTAAGCAAATTATTTTAGTTTATTATATTTTGCGACACACACGTCCGTCACTCATCTCAGCTCAGGGCTCATTGAAAACCAGCGCCACAGTCAATTGCGGCTGTGGCATAAGCTGAATGAAGTCCTTTTGCGTACGCCACAACCGCACACATGACAGTACAACATTTGTAGTTGTTATATTTAGTATTTTTCTGTTTTGCTCTTTGTTTGTTATTGTCTTATTTCATTTTATTTTAATTTTGTTAATTACGTCTTTTTGTTTTGTTTTGCTTGTCTAAGTAGTATCAATATATTTTTTTGTATCTATGTGTTGTGGCGTTGCAATAAATGTCTATTCTATTCTATTCTATTCTATTCTACAGAATTCTTTGCAATTCTGTAGCAATTCCTCTTATTTTCGTAAAATTGTCCCACATTCCGATTAATTGTATCCAGTTCTGTTAATTCTGATTTTATTATATTCATAAATGGTTTATTACGAGAATTTAGTGTAAACAAGTATGTTCATCAATAAAACAACTACATAAGTCAATATGTTGGCCGAGAAATCGAAGAGACTCGGTGAAATTCGGCGATTAATTGCTTACAACACTATTATTTAAGAAAAAATAGTTTGAGGACGTAACTGTTTTCAGGACGTTTCGGAGTAACTCAAAATTGCATTTTATTTTGGAATTCGTGCGAAAACAGTACTTCAAATATATTTGTCATATTATATGTATAATGTTTCAATAAAATTTACGTATTTTTTTTAAAGTCAATTATGCTAATTATTGTTTGTTTATTGTTACGTTGATCGCATTCAAAGTTACATACTATCGCCTTCTTTAGCTGTCAAATTTGGCCTCTTATTTGGTGACGACTATAGTTATGAAAAGGAGGACAGTAAATTGGTTCAGGGGAGTCTACTCTCGTTCTACCTAATAATAAGTAATACTCAACCAAATTAAAAGACAAAGTGAACTATGAAGCGTCATTCGCACGCACGATGCGTATGACGCTTCATACTTCACATTCTTCTTTTAATTTGGTCAACTATTACTTATTTATCAGTAATTGTTTCGGACGGAGAACAAGAGAGTACAGAGCCTGGTTTGAGTTTTCTGGGTAGTGCCCCGACGTTCGTAGTTTGAAACTATGTTAATAAAGTTATAATGACCACCGAACAATAAATTTTAAGGTATGTTGGGCCATGTTGTAGACAAAAGCTATATCAAAAAAGGCCCCTATATATCCGTACGATTTGCCTTCACAAGTTTCGTTTCAGGCTGATCGAATAGACGCTACCAATCGATAGTGTATATTTATGTCGATATATTGATTGAGTGAGTGAGTGGAGTAGCGACGGGTCCGCTTATTCCCAGTCGTCACGTCTGCCTTTGTTCCCACTAGCGACAAATGGGAAAAAACTCTTATGTTACCAGGAATATTTGAAATTCCCTTTGGTGCCATTGGCAACAACAGATCTTTTATCCCGTTTGCCACCACCTGGTAACATTCTTTTTATTTCCTATTTGTCGCCAGTGGGAACAAAGCCAATGGTGACGACTGGTAATAAGCGGACGGATTATCGCGACTGTCGATCCTAACGAGTAAACGCCTATATGTGGTCTCTATACGCCTGTATAGGTTTGAGAGAGGTATACTACTAAAAACATGTATTAATACGTACGAAATAAACTGTTCAACATCGTATCCCTTCCATGCAGCATCCGTGGCCACAATAAGATCCATCACAGGCACACTGTGACTGGCTTGACACATTCGCTGATTCTGTCTTAGTACCGAAGCTGGAACAAGCAATTTATTTATTTATTTTATTTTTTGTTTTATATGTTATACATATATTTTATATGCAATGTTTAATTACATCCATAGAAATATTGTATTAATTGCGTTGAGTTAATATTTAACTGAATTCATCTTTTCGCGTACCTATTAGGTATTAAGAATTCTTTGTGCGTTCGAACTGAGTACAGTGACCGGCCAATTCACTTATCGAGTTTTTAGGTTTTGGCGATTGTTACACATTGGAAGTGAAACTTTTTGTTTTGGCTCTAAATCGTATATAAGTTTTTTTTAA